CAAAAAGCGTTCTTTAAAATATCTCGAAATTGAAACAAAAATTGAAACAAATATGAGGTTTAATAGGTCTTGAAGTGAACTATAAAAGGTTGTTTGTTGATGGTGATGAAACAAAAGTTTTGAGTCTATTATGAAATGACAGACTTTCACTAGCTGTAAGTACGTACGAGTATATGTGTGATTGTCAAAGAAATATCACTGCGGTTCTCGATCTTTTTCTACGTGTAGTTACGAATAACAGTTTAATCAATTATAATTTAAATATATATTCCTTTATTCCTAATTCCTAATTCTATATATTTATTCCTTTTCACGTAAATATTGATGCTAATTCTGTTGTTCGAAAACTCTCTAAACTAAACTAAAAATCACTAAAATTTGTTTAGACCTGTCAAATAACGTTGCGTATTCTGAAAACGTAGTACTTGACAGTTCTAAACTAATTTTTAGTTTGGTTTAGAGAGTTTTCGAACAACAGATGTAGCACCATTGGATTTTACGACACACATTGGTATTTCTAGCATCAAAATGAAGTGGCTCCCTGAATTTTTTATAAAAATATCATTTTTTTTCAAGTAGATATAACAAAATCTTAGCATCTATTAACAAATCCTTAATTAAAAAGTATAAAGGTATTGAATACCAGTAAAGTTGCGAAATACCGGCACGTAAAGTTATGAGTGTACGCTAGCCTTACCAAGCTTGACTGAAATAAGTTTAGGAACCTATTAGCATGTAGATTGAAGTCGGTTCCCTATCTAACCCGGTGTGGTTGATTACTTTCATATAGTTATGGCCACTGTCCGCTAGCTAATATAAATGCAGATAACCTAACGTTTTTACCGAGACCTCTGGCCTTATGTAATTGGTTCTGGTCGGAAGTGTAGAGACTCGCTAATAAGTTCTTTAGGAAGAAACTCGATGGAAGGAAGATAAGCTTAGCAATTTTTGATGATAATTGTGTAAAGATAACTTGGATTGAAACTGAACATATTAAAAAAATAAGTTTTAAATTACCAAAAACTCAAAGCTACACGTAAATCAAGATATCTAAGAGTAAAGGACAAAAACAAAAAAAAGGACGACCGGACAGCATAGTGGTTTGTGTAACGGACTGCTATTCCAAAGGTCGCGGGTTCGATTCAAGCTCATTTCAAACATTTGTGTGCATAAACATTTAATGTTTGATTTGGTCTAGGTGTTTCTATGTTATGTATATATTTACAAAAAGAAAGTAGATATGTATTTATATCAGTTATCTAGTAGCCATAGTACAAGCTCTGCTTAGTTTGGGACTAGATGGCGTTGTGTGAATGTAGTAAAATATAAACGTCACTAGTCGCTTAACAAAATGCGGAATTGTTTGAAATATAAATTTAAATAGATCTTTTATATTTAGATATTCTCATTTACTGAGTAATCATGAATCTGAAAATGTACTTAGGCTTTGAATTTAAATTCTGTAAGCGAGTAATTTAAGGCCCGTATTTTAAAAGGTGTCTCAGTCGTGAATCTAGTCTTAAAACTAATTTTAAGTAGAGATTTTTTCATTGAACGTCACTTAAAGGAGATTTACCGATTCATAGTCGAGGAGTTCTGGCTTATTTTAGAATGATGTTTATGTCGAAATCTTCACTCAGGTATAGATTTTGACAGCTGTCTGTCTGTCTGTGTTGATCTTTGTTTACGTGAGACAAGCTGAAACTAGTCTCAAGCAGTGATTTCTAGGGCATTTTAGGGGAAATTAATGTGTTTTGCGATGTTTTGTTTTTGAATAATTACGAAATATTTACTTTATTTACGAAAGAATTACTTGTCATACTATAATCAATTCACTTTAATTTACCTTAATTGATATTAAATACACTGAAATTCACAATTTACACATACAATACTTGTTTAAATTAAAATCACTACAACCTTTTGGTTTATGTTAAAAGTATAATATTATTCTAGTAATATAAATTTTAGAAATATTAAAATAAAAACATTGTTTGACATTTCAACATGACAAGTGTTGATAAATAATTTGAAAGTTCCGTTATAGCCTATATCTGGTCATTTTTATTGTAATATTTATTATATTAAATTTTGGACGAATAACAAGCTTGTAAATATGTTAACATTGATAAACTCACAGATATTATGTTTGTAAAAGAAAATTATTTTTTAAATAATTAGCTGCGTAATACGGACTTCAACATAATTTAGCATTATTTCTAGACCCTTTCATGACAGATATAAATAACAAAAGTGATCCCACTAGCGACATCTAATCACCATCACCTTCAAATTTTGGTATACCACAAGATGGATCACTAATGGATGGACATATAATATTGTACTCTCACTTCCGTATATATATATATATATACATAAAATATATTATAATACAACAGAAATAGCAAATGTAGTACGCAATTATTGATAACCTAGATATAGGAGCGCGCACTGCTCTTTTGATAACTTTTTTATTTTCAATAATATCAATCGCGTAACAATGTTTTTGTCATTTTACTGACATAACAATAACACACACCCAGTTTTAAAATATTATTTTTATATTATTTTAATCGAATAGAAAACTTGGGATAGGCATAAAAAACGGTTAAAGGTTAACCCACACTGCGACGCTCTATGTAGGCAGATACGGTATAGCCACGTGGTGCGCGTGTTTCCCCCTAGCAACAATTCCGCTGAACAGCATGACCGCAACGAAAGACGCCAAGATTTTTTTATATTCATTCATTTAATCAAGAATGACAGATGACGAAAATCTGGTTTGCCTTTTTTCATTTTAATGTTCTATGACTTGTAGATTGCTAAAAGATTATCATTGATGTTCTCCTTGGCTTAATATTTAGCAAGTATTAGATATTTTAAGGCGGGAAACAGCTTAAATGAGTTTGTAGATATGGTTATATTGCATTTTGCTGCTGTTCTTTCTGTTCATTTTACTTCGTATGCATTAAAAACAATGATCGTATGGCTAGTCCAGAACGAAAGTTCGTGATGATATTCACGGCTTCCCAACAGTGGGACAGTATGGGCCGGAAAAAAAAGTTTTTTTACTACATTGGCACAAATCCCTGTGACACATATCTCTGCGACTACACTCAATGTGAATTAAATACGCTTGAAATTTCAGAGTGGATATACGAAATAAAATAAGCAATGTGATTCATTCATTTGCTGTCAAGGTTCCAAAGGGCCAATTAAATAATTGAAAGGGTTAAAAATAGGTGATGCTTTAACTGGGGGTCCCTTAGCAGAGGTGTAATGGTTTTAATGCGTGCGATATTATGTATAATATTCTAATAAATAGACTATGTTATCTTTACGATGGGTTGTTGATGATTAAACCTTAGTTTGTGTTTACTGTTAGTTTGTAGCAAAATATTTTATATTACCTTTATACGTGAAGGGAATAATTTCAGCACGAAAGCATATCACATTTGGAATATTTAATGTAATTTATAAAACAATAGGTATTAGAAATGTAAAATTTAAGTGAATTTGGCTGCATCAAGCTACTCGTTGCCAGTATATGTGTGTACCTGTAATGGTACATAAGTTTATGCAAAGACAGTTGTAATTATACTGGACAATGAAATAAACCAAAAAAAAACTTCATGAATTATTCGATTGAAATTCGACTTCTAGTGTTTTCAGGCGATTTCTAGTGTTAGTTTATTTATTATAACTTGAGTTGCCATTTAAATATATTTGCTTTTTATTTTATATGATAACATTGGCCATAGTCTCAGATGTAGCTTAAGTACATTTATAATGTTACACAAACTTGAAAAAAAAAACTAAATTTATTATTTTTATTAAAAAATTGAACACACTATTATTTAAACACAAGTTTTTGTATCAACTATTACCTAGCATGTCCTGCTAATGAGTAATTATTTATAAAAAATCGCTAAAATACATCCAGATAATTCCAAAAACGATTATACTTTTTTAATAAACCACTTTTTAGAATATAATGGTAAAACAATGCACAAATGGATTGAGTTACGCTGTACCTTTGTGATTATAACATTTTATTATGTTTAATGTGGACGTTATACATTTAAAAATAATAATTAAGATGACTATAAGTAAATATAGGTAAGTTTGGGTACTAAAACACACTCTTTTACACATAAACCATGTTGTCCTTAAGTTTTTTTTATGACAGGGGCAATTTTTGAAAAACAAACCTTCCCTCAATTAAAGGGTGCGTTAGTGATGATGATGGCAGCAATTGCCTGAAACCTTCATATCCGTCATTAGTATGCATCTCAGACTGTACCAATGACGCATTTTAATATTTGTCGTCACAGTTATTCCGTTTAAAGGTTAAATCCATGAAATTCAGGGAAAATTATATTCAATATTATGTACAAAAACATGTTATCCAAGTTATTACCGTAAAATAAAATATTCAATTAGGTAAATAATAAAATTTTACAACGTATATAGTACACGCATGACGAACAATATCTCTAATAATGACGAAGGGGGATTTATGTAACCATATAATCCAAATGAAGACTATTTCCTTTACAAATAATTTTATTATAAACAAGAAAATCTTGAATGACGGAATTTGTAAAACAAGGCGGAAGAAGTCAAGTTAATGTTTGCCCTTTAGTCATTGGGTAAGCCACATATAAATTGACTACACAACAATTCAATTTCGCATTGACAATAGTGCATCTATTTATCCAAAAACTGATCCAGAATCACAGCGATTTGAATTGAATCTTCTTGTGTCAAAGCAAGCTTCGCTATATATACGTATTTACATGATTTTACGCAGAGGTCCTTCTGTACTAGACCAAAGAATAATCATAACCTGTATGACAGAACACAGAAGTGAGGTTGGTGATGTTTAATAAAATATATTCCAGTAACTAATTAGTTACAAGGAAACCGCTAGAATATTTCTTAGAAAATTGCTCACACAGCATTACGTTCAAAGTTCAAAATAAAGGAAAACAACTTACCCTTTCGTGAAATTTGCTCGCGTCGTATGACCTCTCTGAACATAAGTTGTATATCTTGTAATGGTCCTTGTGCTTCTTCTCTAAAAACCTGTACACCTCGTCTATATGATTCCTGTAAACACCCTCTAATTTCTCAGCGGGAAACCCCATCGCTATAAGCCTGTCTGTGATATCTGTATAAACATTGGTCAAGGAAATACGAGACAAAATAACAATGAAATAATTTTTGTGATTGATGTCTTTCAGGTAAGCGGCAATTACGATTTAAGTTGGCAGGTCTCTTTACACCTTAATAATGGGTCCAGGTCGGGCAAGAAAATAGTCGCGCATACATAACAATATGGGTAAAACTGTATGTCTCTAATAAAGTAAGTTTTATAATAATAATAATAAATTTTTATTTCGAGTAACTGTGACTCATAGTAATTATTAAAAACTTAGCTTATGTTAGTATTACATAATTACAAAAAGATGCATGTAGCCGATAGCATCTAGTCATATATGGACAGTCCATTCTGTCGGCTATCATGGCTAGGACCCTGTTGGAGCTGCCCCTTACCCGCGACAAGAATAACGCTGCTCATTTGCGTATCGTGGAGTAAAAGCAGTCAATCTCTTGCCTTTGCAAACATTCCCGAGGCAATGCATCTCCAGGGCAGTCCCATCAGTCTCCTAAAGGCATTGACTGCCCTCAATTATTATCTATATATTTAAAAATGTTTAATTGTTTTTTATTCGATTAAAAATTCAAAAAGTTCGGCACCAATTGACCTTAAATTTTGACACGATATACAAACTCCTTTAAAGATCGTTTTTATCTATTTTTTGTGTCAGTTTTGTCCCTCACGTCTCATATGTAACACAGCAAAGCGTGACAGAGTACAGATAGTCTAGAATAAATATTAAATTCGCTCGTAAGTATCCTCGAAATCCTGTCAACCTACTGTACTCGACATCAAGTAAATGGGTCAACTCTTCAATACTAAGTAGACTTTATAATAAGTTCGACAAACAAATTGATATGTCATAACAACTTTTATAGATTTATGAGCTACTAATTTCTTTTAATAACCTAATTAAATTAAAACGTGTTAATTATCAACTAATTTTGATACAACTGTCTGTTAACTATATGTTTTTGTTAAATAAATACCTGTTATTTAACCTGCGTTCTAAAACCTAAATGTTTGCCATAAATGTTGTGTTTCTACATCCATAACTTATTTATCATGCATGTATTATTTGTAAAAAAACGTGTAAAAATTTTAGGCGAATTAATATGAATAAATAACTCACCATAATATTCGGAATGAATTTTGTCTCCGAACAATAATAGTGTCAAGGTATTTGAATTTTTATTCATCCATGATTCACTCAACGAAAAAATCATTACATATTGATAGGAGATTCATTATTTTTGATATATAAGTAATATATAAAAGAAATGTTGAAGGCTATACTAAAGCGGGTGACGCCGCCATTATAGTGTAGAACAGATTCGATTTATTCTTGTACGATTAATATAAAGGAGCAAGTCAAAATTTATACTCGTAATTCAGAGGGCCTATAATGGTCTAAGTGGTGAAGAGGTAAGCGCGGGCCAATCACAACGCAGAACGTAGCACCGTGACGGTCGAGTAATGTTACGTACATTGTAACTTCTTTATATACAAAAGAACCCCGATGTGCAAAGCAGTTCACAAAATTGTGTGTCAGAATTGTTTAAGCATACGCTTAGCATATGTTCGGTTTGGGAACTTTTTTGACACACCTAGATGTCGGTATATAGGGCAACAGAAATATTCTTTTTCGTTTATTTACAATAACACAGGCTTTCATTACCGGCTAGACATAAAACTTATACAGCTCGACGTTGTGTCTAACGCAAATAATATATACATATACTTATTAGAAATAACACAACAATAAACGGTGACTTGATCTAAAATTAAACGTGTATTGTGTACAATATTAAAAGATTGATTACATGACGTCACCATTAAATAAAACACAAGGGATATCCTTCAATTGATTTGAAGTTAGAATAATGATAAGGAAAACGCAAGCATTATCCGTATTAGATTAAAACATAAACTCCTAATAAGGCGTTGCCCGACAAAGTCATACTGACGGTGTCAGCCGGTCAGACTAGTGCAATCTGGTCGAAACATGCGACAATTAAAAAATTGACATCTCATTAAACATATATGGCATATTTTCAAATATAAGTCAAAATTAAAAGTGAATTACTAAATTGAAGTCCACCATAGTCCCTATTGCGATAATCATCAAAGTCATTTATTAACGTGAAGATTAAACAAGCTTAGAGATAGAATATGGTATGCATCGGTTGAATAATTAAATATAAGATACCAAGGGCATTTACCCAAACTTCAATATGAGGTTAGATGATTCGGACCTTCCGGTCAGAAGCCAGTCCTAAGTTCAAGTATGCGACCCCAACCTGCCCGAGCTATTACTCGTAGTTATTTTCCCCAATTAATAATAATAATCAATATCCCTTCCCTACCATTATTGGTTTTCCCTTTTTACCTTCCTTTGAACAAGTGTGGTGACGGATTAATAATACAGAGTGTCACCGCCCCTTTTCATCTGATGGGTGTCGTAAGAGCCGTCAAAGGGAGCAAACAGCATACTGCATAGAGAAGGAAAAGTTGACACAAACCCTATAGAACAGCATGGTACAGTAGGCGTAATCCTTCTTTCTAAGAAGAGGCCTATGTCCAGCAGTTGAATATTAAAGGCTGTTGATGATGATGACCTAGGTAAGCAAGGGAAAACCGCTTACGAAAATACTCCTAACTTTTCTATCTAATTCCTAGTACCAGGTTTACGGAAATAGGCTTGCCCTACCATTACGTAAATGGATCTAAAATTATGATCGGAAAAATGTAGACCCCTATTATGCTTCTGCCTATCTCTTCGAGTATAATATATAGGCGTGTAACTTTATGCTCAGTCTAACAAAATCAAGGTCCAACTGGATTAGCTTTCCCGTCAATGGATCAGTATTAATTCATCTTATATCATGATGTTCTACCAGTATGCACCAGTCAATGCACTCGGTCAACACACGTGATCAAAATACTTTAGCTGACCAGTTTTTTGATTCTATATAATGTACTCATATAGGTACAATGACAGACCAAGGTTATAGTATGCATTTGTGATTTTAATTACTGGGCAAAGTACGTGAGCGTGTAATTCACAGTTGGGACTAAACTAAAAATAAATACACCGAAGCGATTCCAACAGAACGAAAAAATACAATACAAGACTCCTTGTTTTAGGAGATTTATCATTTGTTAATTCTGAAAAAATCTAGTTATTTTTCTAGGGGCTAACTGTCCTACAATAGATTTACTTGTGACAGAAGTGTGCTTTAGTCGATTAGATTCTGACATACCACTCGACTGCGAGCCCCGTTTAGGTAATAACCAGAGGGTAACCCTATAAAATGAATTATATTTAGTGAAAGGTGCTCTGTAATATTTTATCAGTATTTGGCATCAATTTGATTAGGTTTTATCACATGGACCTGCTTCCATGAAATCGTCTACTACATAAGATTAAAGAAATCACATAGAATCGTCAATAACGGTGGTCTACATAGACCAATTCTCTTTCAGCAGGTATCTGCGCCTCAGAGTCCCAAATAAACATTAAATAATGTCATTGCTCTTCACCTACAATTTTTATAGTATACTGGTATATCTAAAATGCACCAAAAATCATGTCCAAATTAGTTATTCGCTCAATTACCTTCTTGCATATTCAAAATTATAATATAATATACCTTACACATCTCACACACGGCCGTCTGGTCCCAAACTAGGCAGAGGCTGTGCTATGGTAACCAGACTGCTGATAAACATACGTATGTTTTTAAATACATACATATTATAGATAAATTACACCCATACACAGAACAAATGATCATGCTCATCACACAATATTTGTCCTGGGTGGGAAACGAACCCACGAATTCCGTGTTAGCAGTCATGGGCACTAACCACTAGACCAACAGGCGCGTCATATTCAAAATCCCTCTTAAACTTCTACATTCACCAATTCTTAAGTTACCAAATTCTCATTTGTGATGACATAAAAACCAGTACGCGTTGAACTAAACTCAAAGTTGTAACGTGCTATCAAATTTCCTAGTACTAGTTTAATGCTATTATTACCTAGATAGGTGTTAAGTTATCTAAATTAGCTTAATTTTGATGTGATGATGCACAGGCTATCACACTTTCAACATCAATCCACGTGATTAACCGACTATGTAACTAATAATATCGTGTATTATGTAATTTGATAAAGTCAATAGGCCCTGTGTGCAATTGGGCGAATCTAGATACACCTCGTGGTAATAAAAAAAAAATGTCGCCGATTACGTCACTACCGTCCGTTCGAAGCGTCGACGTCTAACAGTTTTATTGCCATGGCAACAACTGAGGACCAATGTACTGTGCAATACACTACCATAGAGAGCCATCTGTTGCAATCCGTTTCAAAAAGGTCGTTGCAAAACGACCATCTTATTATGTAAAACTATGGTGAACTACTTAAAATACTTGTGTTCTCTAACTTACAGTATGTTTAGCAGAAAAAATCAATTAGTGGAAAAAGTTTGCTATTATTTTTAACCGACTTAAAAAAAGAAGAGTTCCTCAAATCGGTTGTGTTCTTTTATGCTTGTTCCTCCAGATCTTCGTCGTTTATGAACCGAGTGGAAATAATCGATTTCTATTATAAACTATATATTAAACCTACTCCTGGGCCGTAATTCCTAGGCGCTGTCGAAGTCGCATGTGTTGCCCCATCTACCCCGCGATGGACCCGGCACCCGCAAGGTGAATCCACAGAACGCTATGACATAGGTCTTGCCGTTCGAACCCATTCAAATTTAACCCCTAAGGGCGGAAACTAGAAGAATGAGGAATACAGATTTTTTATTGTCTGAAACCTATAATTAGTTTTTCTTTGTTAAATTAATGTCATTAAAATATTGTCTTGAAATATTTGTCTTCCTTCTGCTTTGAGGTTAACATCACACAGCAGATTTATCAAAACTAACTGACCTAAAGCGGCAATAGAAACGTCAAACTGTGACGTCATTGTACGAG